TCAGTGACCTTACTATACGAAAGAGATGTCTTCTTATTAATAAGAGTAAGAATGAAGGTCTCATATTCCTCGTCGGGCAAGGAACTTAACAATAACAATGTCTTGTCCCCATCTTCAATCATAACATCTACATTCACCAAATCCGTAAGAAGCTTCATGTAGTGGTTTATGTGATCACCAATGGAGGTTTCCTTCTTCAATTGGAAGCGATAAAACATCCTCTTTAAATGCAAATAATTTTCTACACTCTTTGTCAAATACTCACCCTCTAGTATCTCCCAAATCTTTTTAGCCGAAGTGTCATTGATCACATCATATTTCAAATCTTAAGTTAAACAATATCTCATCACACCACATGTCGTTTGATTTATCTTCTTCCAAACCTTCTCCTCAATGTTGTCCGGTTTCCCGTCCAACTCTAATGTATCTTCCAAATTTTACGCGTTGAGCGCATCCAAGACTTCACATATCCAAAGATCAAAATTGTTTATGCCATTAAATTTTTCCACATCTATCTTCATAGAGTGGATATTCAAACTTTGGACGGTCTTCACGTCGGAAGTACCTTCCATAACTCCTTTTTTCTTGACCATTTTTCTCAAAACACCAAAAAAAAATGCGGAACAAACAAAGAATAGATCCAAACTAAAGAAGAGAGATTTTTATCTCCAACTGAAACCCTAATATGGGCCTCCGAAAGATCTCACCTCACATGAAGGAAACGAGATCCACAAATATGAAAAATCTCACCTTTATTACCAACTAAAATCCTAGACAAACTTCCAAAGCGATCTACTCCTCCAATTAGCATAAGCGTATTGTGCATCCTTTGTGGAAGGATTTGAGAGAGATTTAGAGAGCTTTGTTTGAGGGTTTTTGGTGAGATTTGTAATCCTATTTGTAATTCTCTTCATCTCTAATAGTAAGAACTCCCTCCTCCTTGTCCCGTGGACGTAGGCAACTTGCTGAACTACGTAAATTAGTTTGTCTTGTTGTGATTGTGATTTGTGCTTTTGTTTTGGTTGTGATCTTTCTCGTTCTTGTTCGTGCACTATTTGACTTTCGAGTTCTGCTGCGTACAACAGGTAATATAGTCATAAACGAAAAGTTAGCACTCAAATTCTAATGGAGATTAAAAAGGACTTAATTTGTGAGCAATCTGTGGTACAAGAACCAAGTGGAGAAGAAAAGATTGATCAATTTGAGTATGAGGCCCTAGTACAAGGACTAGATTTGCCTTTTAGATTAATAAGGTTGAATCCTTCTTTAACCCAACAAACAATAAAATTAACATAGGATTAACAAACTCATTAAGACCAGATAACTGAGAGTTAAACCCTAGCGGCATGGGTTTACTATTCCATGGAATAAGGCGGAACAAAGGATGTTCCGTCTCCTCAACAAGGATATGCCCTGTAATTAAAGCAACAAAAGAAAGAAGATATTTCTATATTAACTATATAACTAATTGACAATGGAAGGAAGATATTATCAGATGGAAGATTACTTCCTTTCATAAAACTATCTTATTAAGTCGCAGGTCATTTATTTGGGGTCTCTGTAATTACATACATAGGTTGTGATCAATATCCCTTTAAAGGTATATTTGGAGAGTATATGTTATGTAGAATATTCCTCTAAAAGTTATGTCATTTGCATCCTCGTTTATTTAAAAAAATATATGACACGTCAAACAAAACTATTACTCTAATATAAGAAATTCAAATATATTGATTTAATTGAACGAGTTTAGACTAATCTTTACCATACATTTGACATTTGTTGTAATATTCTAATTTATTTGCAATTTTTAGAATTTTGACATCTCTATCTTAAGAGTTTAGACTAATCTTTACCATACATTTGACATTTGTTGTAATATTCTAATTTATTTGCAATTGTTCCACGGTTGAAATATTTTTTTTCTATTTTTTGAAATTTAATTATAAAAGCTTATTTTAGTTGATCTTGAAATATATTTTTGGTACTTACTAATTTTAGTTGATTTTTATTTTGCTTCTCAACAACCATTTATTTAAATATTACATACATTAGAATACTTTCTTATATGACTGCAAATTCAAGTTCCTTTTTTTGGTAAAATGATAGTTATTGAATTTTTTCTCATTTCAATAAAGCTAAAGTTGCTATATTCTTAAAATATAGAGGGATAATCTCCTTAATCTTTCATTTTTGCCAAACCCAAAAAGCTAACCCTTCATGTTAACTATGTAATCTAAATGGAATAATGTCATTTTAGCCCCTCGTGATGCGTTGACTAAGTTAATCATTCTCCTTAACCCTCTTCTATTAAACTCTTGGCAAACAACACTGGGAGTCTTCTACGAAACCCCTCAATACAATGTTTTTCCTTCTAAACACTAAAAAAAATTCTTACATAACCTTGACGGGAATCCACTCGGATAAAAACTAAAAGTCTTTGTTCATATTCTTTACTTCAGTTTTTACAACAAATTCTTTCACTTCAAGAAATTTGCAAATCAACCTCCCCGCCCCAAAAAAGGCTATATGGACATCATGTGACTTGTTTAAGAACAAAAATCCCCCAGGCACTTGAAAGAAGAAAAAAGAATGTTTGTTTTTTAAGGCGTCGAGACGTAGATCGATGGGTATGTATATTGTAATGCTTAATAATTAGAAATAAACAACATATTAACATTACTTAGTAATATATATATATTATATTATATACTATTATATATATATATATTAATATATAATATAATTTATAATATATATATTATTATATATATATATATATAATATATATAGAGGAGAGAGAGAGGAAGAAGAGGAGGAGAAGAGAGAGAGAGAAATTGATGTATGCTTGATAAAAGCACAAAAGATATGCTTTGATAGTGACGTGACATAATCCCCTCCACTCATTCAATGGTTGGCATATCCGCCATGTACCCTTAATTCATGTGAATGTGTCCCCTATGAATAGAGTGGAGAGAATTGTGGCCACATCACTACCAATCAATACTCATATTTCTCATATATATACTATTAGTATATATATATATATTATATATATATATATATATTAAATAATATAATATATATGTATATATTATATATATAAATATATATAGTATATAAAGGAATATGGTATGCTTGGTACCAAACACAAATTTTATGCTTTCGGTAGTGAGGTGTCACAAATCACCTCCACTCATTCAAATGGGGCCGACCAATTAATGGGTTGAGGTGTGCATGGGGATATGTAACTATTTGAATGAGTGGGGGGATTATTCATCTCAGCTACCAAGCATTGTATATTTTACCAAGACCCCATCCCCACACACCCATTTTCTCATATTATATATATATATTATATATATATATATATATAGTATATATATATATATATATATACTATATAGTATATTATATATATATATGAGAAATATGGGTATGCTTGGTACCAGCACAATTTATGCTGGTATGATGGTGACACAATCCCCTCTAGCTCTACATTCAAAATGGGGGACCACATTCACATGGGTTAATAAGTGCATGAGCGATATGCAACCATTTAAATGAGTGAAGGGAATTATGTCACCTCATCTACCAGCACAATTTTTTGTGCTGTGGTACCAAGCACTACCCCATTCTCTCTCTCGATCTCGATCTCGATCTCGATATATAATATATTATACTATATATATACTATATAATATATAGTATAATATATATATATATATATTATAATATATATATAATATATTAGAGAGAGAGAGAGAGATGAGAGAGAGAAATGAGTATGCTTGGTACCAAGCCTACAAAAAGTTATGTTGTGGTAGTGAGGTGCACATCTATCTCCACTCAATTCAAATATGGACCACATTCACTATGGGTAGTGATTGATTTGAGGATGTGACACGATCAACTACAAGCAAAATTTTTTTTTTTGTGCTTTTTGCGGTAAAAAAACCAAGCATTACCCATATTTCTCATATATAATATATATATATATATATATATATATATATATATATATATATATATATATATATATATATATATATATAAGGGAATATGGGTATACTTGGCCAAGGATCCTTGGTGTAGATGTGGACACATCTTGTCCATTACATCACACCTTGAACGATGGAGCGCCTCACTCAACTCCAAGTCTGATGTTTATGGGACAATATGTGTCCACAATCAACTACCAAGGACATTGGCCGCAAAGTATACACCCATATTCTCATATATATAATATATATATATATATTATATATAGTATATATATATATATATATATAATATATGAATCAGATTTGTCCATGATTACTTATTATCTTTTCAAATCCTAAGATTTTATTCGAGTAATAACATTTTTTATTGTATTGTGCCTTTTTCTGTTTTTTCAGTTTTTTTTTTGGTGGCAAAAATAAATAGAAGAGAAAATAATGGATGAAAAATTTTGAAATATCTGCCGATAATCTCCGATTGCCCCGACTTGTATATATGTGTACCCAAAAAAACAAGATTGTCCCAAAATTTTCTCTTTGGGTCTTTTGCATATATACCCTCCAAATATCAAATTCAACGCCTAAATTTACAATATTTGTTGTTGTATGCCAAAAGTTTCATGTTAGTTTTTTCTGTTCTTAATTGTCGAATATCATTAATACTCATGAGTATGTTAATTAATTTTCTTTATTCATGATTAGACAGAGAATGGGATAGAAAGCAGGACTTGCTAGTAAGACTACTCACCAGTATAATATCAGTTTGGGTAAATTAGCAAATATCTATTGTTCAGAAATAAAAATTAGATTTGAGGGGTGTAGGCGCAAAAGCAGCACCCCTCCCTCTAATCTTCTTTCTCGTTTCAGTTCTACTTGGAAAACTGTTAAACTAATATCTCACTACCATAAATAATAATAATAATGTTTCACTAAATAATAGAGCTGCTCTCTCTCGCAACATATAAATTACAAGCTCAGCATCCTCCTCAGATATTTCGAGTGGGTAATATATGCAAAAATTAAGTTCGCTTTATCTTCTTCCGACTTTGCTTCCCTCCCAGAAAATATTAAAATAATAATCTCCCAAATTAACAGAGCTTCTCTCTTGCAACGTATAAATTTCAAGCTCTGCCTCCTCCTCAGATATTTCTGAGTCTCAGCAAACAAAACCCACCATGAGCTGCTGCTTGCCCTTCAATCCACCTTCCCCTCACAAAGCCATTCTCTCAAGAAAAAGAACCCAATATTTTTCTCCCTCTTTTCTCTGCTCACAAAAGCAAGAACCCAAGCTCATCCTCCATGATTCTCTTGATGCTGCTGGAATCGACACGAAGCTCGCAAGAGTAAGTACAATAATCTTTCTCATTTCCTAGTTTCATTCAGAGATTTTTTATTTATTTAATTTGCCACAATTTTAGGACTGTAAATGTACTTCTATGCAGATGGGATTTAGTTACTACTGTTTGTTTCATTTCAATTGATGAATACAGCTGCAATTAACTGATAAATATAGCTGCAGTTACAGTTGTTAAAAGGTATTCAGTATTTGTACACAAGTCACAGTTGTAACCTTTACCTTATAACTCCAATTCCGAATAAATTTTGGACAAACTCAATAAGGGAGGGGGCCAATATAACTCTAAACAGATACAAGCACAATTACTGTCGGAGTTGGCCAGAATATCCTTCATGAGCATGCTCATCTTAGTCGTACCAACGACGTCGTCCTTGTAATCAATCTGTGAATTCAAGCTACTGACTTTTGGGAAAATGGATCTTAACCAATGTCGCCAGGGTCCGTCGCGTTGTTTCCAGAGTCAGTAGGCCTTTTGGAAGAAGCCGAACAAACAAGAGTTCTCTGCAGGCGCTAGCGCTGTGTTTTTCGCTTTTGTTGACTGAAGTAGAGTGATTAGGAATCAAGACGGATCATGTGTGAGAGAGAATATAGGGATCACTGGTCTCATCCGTGACACCTGCGTGAGAATCTAAAGATATATCTGCTTTTCCCCAGTGGAAGCACTGCCTCCGAACCACGTAAAATCCTTGTGTTTCATCCTTGTGTTTGTGCTTATCAGTTTTTTCGCGGGCTAGTTTGGAGTACTTGCTCTGTAATCTTGATTTCCTCAAGGCTTCTGCAGTATCCGCAACAACTGCAAATTGCAAAATTTTCAAAACTTAACTGAACAGCAAACTCAACGATTCTTTTTGTATACTCAAAATTTTTAATTTCTCGATCCTTGTGTTACGTTTGCTTAGGCGGCGAGGGAGGGGTTTTGTCAGCAGGCTGGGAGGATAACAGAGATCAACTCTCAAACGAGTATCGCAATAAGCAGGGGCGCTGACCTGGCAAAGACAGCCCTCCACGTTGCTGCTGAGGATGACTCTTTGGTGTCGCATTCGTCAGTAGAGCTGCCGGTGGAGTCGTACATTGACCGGCTGGCTGATCTGTCTTTCGGGTTCTGCTCCCTTTGTATGCCCCGGTCAAACGCACCACCGGAGGTGTTTCTTGGGAATTTGGAGAAGTACTTGTATGTTCACAAGGTATGTGAAGTTGGGTTTTGTAAATTTGCTATCTTTTTAGGATTATTTTGATACTAGTCCCCCGAGTCGATCATTGAAATTTTTTAAAATTAGTCCCGCAAATATTATAGCTACCCCCAGTTAGCAGTTGTTTGATTTGGGGTGGATTGTTTCTTTAACTCTTAACTAATTTGGTTGTCAAAAACATTTAAAAGATTTGGGGGATGGATTTCATAATATGGAGACTTGGGGAACTAATTTCAGAATAAGAAGATTTGGGAACCAATTTCCAAATATGAAAGATTTGGTACCAAATATCATACTTGGATTTGTTTTGGTTTAGCGTGTGATTTATGATTTCTTAAAGTGGTTATTTAATTTGTTGTTATTAAATGAAAATGGTTGTTGAATCGACAAAGAGCGGCAAATCAGCGCTAGTGGAGAAATGCTATTGTTGATAGGAAGTGCTAGTGTTGTTGACAATTGAATTGCGATAAGCATGCTGCCCACCCTAATCATCTGTTCAGTACTTGATCATGCATTTCCGGGTAAACATGCATTGTATAATTGAGTACAAGTCTGAATAAATATATGCATATATTTAAAGAGTGTCTAAGAAGTGTCGGGTACGGGTACAGGCATAACACGTATCAGGTATGAATACAGCTCTATATTATAAGTACCCAGGTAACGTAAGCGGAACCTCAGCCGAGATGGTCATGGATCCAAATATTACTAGCGGACTAAAGAAAAAAAATTAGTCTATTGTAGTAAACTTCTTATCTTTAATGCTGTCTAGCATTTTCATTGTTGTTTACCTGTGCATATGGATTAACTGTGGCATTTTGTAGCACTCATGCTGGCAGCTTGTATTTTATTGATAGGACAAAAAAAATCTAAGGCATGTAATTTTGGTTGTTTCACATTAGTATATCTGATACTCTTTCATATCCTCTTGATGGCCAGTGGTTTTGACAAAGTAACCTTGTACTTCGATATATTGACTTCCACATAATTGGATAATCTTGTTCATGTTTACGTTATTCCATTTTCAGGGATTTCACCGAACAAATGTGTTGACAGAAACGCGGGCTTTATACCTTCACTCTGTATGTTTCCTTTTTACATTACATTGTCTTGATAAACTATTAAGCATTTGTTAGTAATTATATGGTAATGACACTTTCCCCTCATCAAATACAGGTTTTGACATGTAGATCAGGATCTTCAGTCATGTTATCACTCATTTACTCGGAAACATTGAAAATGTTACGAGTCCTTGGTTTTCTAGATTTTGATGTAGAAATTTACTTTCCTCATGATCCTGCTGGTCTTCCTTATGGTTACCATAAGCTGAAAAGCAAACTGGAAGATCAAGCACATATATTAACATCCAAGGCACTGTTGGTGGAGGTATGTTAACCACTTATATCCACTTTTCTGTCTGTCTCATCGTAGTTTTTCCTTTTGCATTTTCTAATTTCGCAAGTTTTATTAGAACCATATAGAACATAATAAAAAATAGTTTGATTGTTCTTCACGATGAGGCTTAGCAGACATGCTGCATCTTTCAATTTCTTGCGTAAATTTCCCATAACCCTTATCTTTGGCCTATTTTTAGATAACTCCCTGAACTTTAAAAATGTCACTAAACCACTAAACTTTTGACGTGTCAAAAGTTGCCGAAATGTTTGCAATTTTTCAACATACTGCCCTAACGGTGTAATTGGGATTTTCTGAAAACTTTATAAAAGTTCATGACGTCCTCTAAAAATAATGCTGAAAGTTAAGAGGGGCATGTCAGAAAAAATTGAGGTTGCTTGGGGTGTATGTTGAAAATTTTACAAATGTTTTGGTTTTTTGTTTAGACTCCCAAAAGTTAGAGGGGTTAAGTGATCATTTTAAGTTCCAGGAGGTTATCTCAAAGTGGGCCAAAATATAGTGGGTTATGTGAAATTTACACTTTCTTATTTTGCCTTGTCTAACTAGAGATAGCTAGCATGTTGAACAATTTATTTATAGGATCATATCTTATCAACCTTGATATCTCTGTTTTCATCATCTATCTAAGTCTAATTACATTATATGGAGGCTCATTTACTAATATTATGCACTACCTAGGCCAATTTCACTGACAACTTCTTATGCTGGTACGCAGTATATCTGTTTGACAAAATCATGTCTTTTTTCAGAAGTAGTAGTTATCTTCTGTGCATCATCTTTTAAGTGATATTTTTTTTGTAACTTACACAGTACCAATTTTGTTCATCTATCCCATGTTTTATCTGTAGATTCTAAGGAACCTAAAGGATGCATTCTGGCCATTCCAGTATGAAAATTACAACAGCTTATTTCTTAGAGCAGCACATGCTTCTAACCACATTTATGGACCAAGCATTGTAGGAGAAAGATATTCTGAATCATGTAGCAGCACAAGGTAAGTGATTTTTATATGTTCACATGGAAAATGTTCTTAAATGTAATCAAATTTTAATATATCTCCTTCTTGGTAGCAGTGGTTTAGAGATAGCTTCTACTAAAGCTGCTCAACACAGATTAGGGCGTGGAGTTTGGACCAATGTTCGGTTTGGTGATATGCGGCGTGCATTAGCAGGTAAATACACTATTTAGATTTTTTTATTCCTTTTTAGCGAACTGTATTGGCTGAAATGTTACAAATAAGTATTGATTCTACGCAAGCAAGATAGATGAAAAAAAGTTAGTGACGGATATTGATATTAAATGAGTTATACACAACTTATCATGTAATTTAGAACCTAGTTCCAGCACTCTTTGTGACATATGTGGCAAGGAATTGGGTAGTAAAGACTAATGCTTTTCATTTTGAATATGGCATGATCACAGCTTGGTTATTCTCTGAGAGTGCGCTCTTCGGTGTAATTTAGAACCTAGTTCTTGACATTTACACACACGGATTAATTTCACTGTTTCATTTTTTACAGCCAGCGAACGCCTTGTCATCCTAACAAACGATTATCAGGAGCTAAGAGACTATGCTATACTTCTGTACCACTGTGGCTATTATGAGGAGTGCTTGCATAATTTGAGATTGTATGAGACCTTTAAGGAGGTAAATTATTCAATTCTCATCAATTTACTATCTACACCTATAAATATGTCGTAACTTAGCTAATGAAGTTTAAATTCATGCAGGAGGGTGGTCATGCGCAACAAAGATCCAGGCTGAGCCAGACTCATGAATTGGAGGAGGATGCAGTGCGAAAACTGATGGCTCGAGTAAATCTCATCCTAGGTGAAGAAGGTTGGAGCGAGAGCATATCTCGTAAAAGTTACTGGGGTCAATATCAAGAACCATGGTAGTTCAGTTGATTTATTTTATGGTGTGTGTGTGTTAGGGGGTGGGGTTCAACATTTATTAAATTACACCAAGTCTTGATATTTATTAAAATGCCCTCCAAATCTCAAGCTTTGTATTTCTCTACCCCAAATCAAAAAATGCTAAGTATCAAATAGTTGAAAGCGAGGGGTACAATTTAATAAATGATGATGATTTGGAGGTTATGTAGCCAAAAAAATAATCCTTTTTTCATCTGTATCATAGTTTTATTTGGCTTCGAAATCATGAAATGTAATTTTACACTAACAGAGATTACAGTCAACACAAAGGTGTTTATTTTTAGTACCCCGCAACACACAGGGTAAAGGAATATTCAAAATGCATTTAGGCTGCGTTTGGGAACTTTGATTTGGATTTGGGAAGTTGATTTAAAATCAAGGGATTTTAAATTTAGGATTTGAAATCCATGATTTAAGAAATCTTTTGTTTGGATATCTTTATTAAATGAAAGGATTTGAAATCTTTGATTTCAAAATCTAGTGTTTGGGTACTTTATTATACATGAATTTGAATTTAAAATTGATAAAAATTTATTCTCTTAACCCATCTTGTTTACATCAAATGCAATGGAGATGTGTAAAATAGTAACCAAAAAACACAAATATAGATAATTTTGACGATGATAGCTACATTTGCTAAGTTTTCAAATTCATTGCCCACCATAACTTGCAAGAGTTTCAACAAAATGAAAATAAAGAAAACTCTACAAACATATCAAGTATCTTACAAAAAAAACATCTAAATAATACATTACCATTGCATATTTCACAGATATCCAGGCTGGAAAACACTTGAGTCTTGTTTCATATTTCATACATATTCAAAGTGAGAATAAGTTGATATCAGAGCAAATAAATAACAATTCGATTATCTTCTCAAATGCATGTACAACTGACAATTACATAGTCAATTTGGTCTTTGATATACCAAGAGAAATGTTAATCTGAAAAAATACAAAGAGTTGCAAACTGAATAGCATGTGAGAAGAGAAGTATCCTTGATGTAAAGAAATTGCAACTGAGGATTCAGAAATTCTTGTATGATAAACCCTATTCGCAGCAACAAAAGAGTAATTCATATGCCATCACGATATGAGCCCAAAACCTACAAAGAAAATGAGCAGATCAATAATTTTTTTAATCAAGCTAACAAGCTAACAAATTAAACAAAAATGTCGGATAAGCGAGACTGAATAAGATAAGCATGTATACAAGTGATAAAAATAGCCAATGCTTTGAAGAGAAAATGAGCAGTAAGCATGTATACAAGTGATAAAAATAGCCAATGCTTTGAAGAGAAAATGAGCAGATCAATAATTTTTTTTACCATTGAGCAGATCATCTTTCAAAGAGAAAATGAGCAGATCAATAATTTTTTTTACCATTGAGCAGATCATCTTTCAAACGAGGGAAAAAAGCTGAACATTTAACCGTTAACCTTTAGAATAACGTAGCCATGTGTTTGGTTCAAAATTTAGGAGGATACTAGTGGGATTATTTAGTCCTTTAAAACAAAATAGTCTCAAGCTGCTGCACTAAACAATGGGGGAAGATGGTGTTACATAGTCTGTATACTATTTATTACTCACTTGGGATTAAATCTACAAGAAACTCCCTTGCTCTTTCCCCTAATTTTCTAAAATTACATTGAATATTCAATGTCTAATTATTTCACTTACGCTATGGCACTGGTTCCTGAGAATCACGCTCTTTAGGTTCAACAAAGTAAATATGGATCAGTATGCACCTATCTTTACCCCTGCTATATTATTAAGCGCGCGTATCCATGCACTTCTGTCTCTTTAATATTTTGTTAATATATCAGCTTTGATATATAGTAGCTAACGGAATTTCTAAACAAGATGCAGGATGGAGTTAATTTGAAATGATAGTGGGATTGCATTAAGCTCTACTCCACCATATATTAGGAGCTTGTCAAATTGAAAACTTGTTACATCGTGGTTTTGCACTCTAATATAAGCATGTAAATGAAGCAAAATGAACTTTTGATTTACACACTATTAGAGTATGAGTAAGAAATGCATTTAGAAACTAAATAAAAAGAAATGGAAGATATGCCAAGATTATTAGAGTATGAGTAAGAAATGCATTTAGAAATGCATCATAATCAAGTATACACTAAATAAAAAGAACAGAATTCTCAATAAGATAAAAAATTTGTACCTTTGAGATGAGACAAGCACTCCTTACTTGAATTAACAAAGAATCCATCAAAATCACCAAACCCTAATGCATTCATAAGAAATCATCAAAAAATTAGAAATATTCGGTTAAAAATATTGTTGAAATAACATTAAGATAAAGAAAAGTAGTATGAGAGGTGCACCCCTTCTATCTGTACTTGCGAACATATAAATGAATGAACAAATAACTCTCTGCTGTGATTAACATATCCAAACCAAAGCAGAAATCACAGAGAACATAGATTTACAATGAAGATACAGGGATGCAAATGAATATGTCAAGACACTGGTCTCCACAAATAAGCACACACGCACACACTAACTCATTCACTTTCACATGAATATATGTATGGTTACATGCCAGTTCACAATCATACAAGTGAAATACATGGATGTATGGATATATGCCGTGTCCACATGAATATATGCATGGATATATGCAGTTCAGAATCATCTAAGTGCAAGATTATTTGCATACATTGAAAGGAAAAAATCATACTCTCCCATGCCTGATCAATAGATATGATTAGTTGACATATTTTCAATCGTATAATTTTCAGAAATAATTATTTTACAAGAATTCCTAGGCGGGCATTTCAGAACGAATTTCTAATGATACAAGAAGATAATGCTAGAGAGCTACTCTCTATGTATAACAATCATCCTGATACATGCTAGAAGTCACAAGTGTACACACGTGTGCATATGTACAAGTATGAATCCGTAATTGGTCGGCATATTTTCAAAAAAAGTGCTCTACTGTTACCATATGATGCAAATATATCAAGGATATCTGAAGATGCACATGCATAGCAATTCACATACAAAAGCTTTTGGTAATCACATCCATATAATACATATAGACGAATATATACTACCAGTTTTCACATTTTAAAATTTCAATCCTAGAACAACGTTTGCCTAACAAAACATGTAACCAGCACGATTCTGCACTTGCAAACTAGAGCTATGAATACCGTCGAATCATGCATCGTTATCAATTACACGTTCAAAACCCTCCAATTTCCCCTAATCTCTTGGACAATTATAACCATCCGTCAAAAATTCACAATCCAGATTTGTTTGCGGAGAAAGTTGTTGTATTCATTGTTGTACTCATTACAACTTCAATCGTTACAATGAAACAGAAAAAGATAGTCTTTTTATAAGACTCTTACACAATGAAAACAAAAAGAAAGATTACAACTCCCTTCAAACAAACGCAAGATCCTGTTTTGCGGTCTCTTGCTTGCGTGGGTCTTTTGCCTGTGACGGGGATGTTGATATCCGTGGACCACCGGGCACTCAGATCTGCTCCGAGAAAATCGGGCAGAGCTTCGTCGATCCGCGTGAGATCTAGAAGCTTTAAGCGTCTATCTCGGCTAAAACGAGATATCGGCTCTTCTTAGTGATTACCGGCGAAGGGTAATACTAAGGCAAAGGGAGAATGGGTGATGAAGAATCTGATGACTACCTCTCTTCCTCGGTTGAAGCGCTCGACCACTCTTCACTGCAGCAGGGCTTCGCCAAGGCTCTCCAAAAATCCTCCTCTCCAAAGCAAGGCTCAAGGGGTCTATTTATAGGCATATGAGGCTATAGGGGGTAGGTAGGGGGCCTAGACACCCCCTGGTGTCTCGGCCAGGCCGAGACACCCTTGGGGTGTCTCGGCCAGGCC